AAAAATATATATTTTTTTATCTTAAATGCTGAATTTTTATATATTAAGATTTGAGTATAACTACTTCTCTAAGTGGGTTGCTCTGTCAGGTAAAGACGTGTTTTACAGTCTGTACACCCTAGTAAACGATTAATCGATTATTAAATTAGTTGCCGATTATTTCAATAATCCGATTACTTGTTTCAGACTCTAGATGTTCTGTAGAAATATCGATCCAGAGAAGTGAAAAAGTCCACAGCTGGCTGTTTGACTGAAAACTTACTCAAAGATTTGATGAATTTCTACTCAAATGGATAAAACAGTTTGCTATAATGATGTTTCCTTCTCTTGGATGATGGAAATGGTTCATTTTATGCCTTATCATTATTAATGAGGCTAATCCTGAGGCGTACTGCCCAGTTCCATGCAGTCAGCTGACCCTTGGCCCGGCCATGTTGTAAAACAGATCCCTGGCTCTGATATTGTGATATGCAGTGATGCAACTATCAGTCTAATCTAACGAATCATGACTTGTGCTAATGGGGAGAGGCCCAGCGGTCTGATGGACTCACTGATATCAGCTACTCAGGCAAAGTTCAGGGTTAATATATGTCAAACACACACACATCCCGATATTGTGCATGAAGCTGGTCCAGCCAGGTGCACCAGTGATGGCTTTGATCAGGCAGCAGGAGGCTGGCTAATCGGCTTGATCAACTGACAGGGATATCAGAGCTGATTAGAACAACACAGGCCGCCTCAGTCTCTGCCGGAGCTGACGGCGGGATGGGAGGAAGGGAGCCAGATGGAAAGATTGGAGGAGACGGTGTAGCAAAAGAACGGCCTTCAATCAGTGACAGAATGAGAGGGAAAGGTGGAGGAGGAGACAATGGAGGGAGGGAGAAACGAGTGGAGAGCGCAGGTGAAGATGTAACATCTGCCTCTTTGATTTTCTGGAGCTGTAATAAAAATCAAAGGATGTGCGTGGGCGCGCTGAGGTGTTTTGTTACAGAGAGTCATTTCACCGCTGCCTTTGATCAGCAGAGACGAAGGATAACGCCCCTGAGATCCACGTTCAGCTGGGTGCTGGTTTAACTGGAACTCTTTGTGTTTGCAGAGTCAAGGACGCAGGACTCTGGAGGAGGACCAGACGATGAAGATGGAGACGGGGAGGAGCAGGCTCCTGCACAGAGCAGCGGAGGAGAGGAGGAGGAGGAGGAAGAAGGGGAGGAAGAGGAGGAAGTGTTACAGTGGAGAGGTCCAGGTGGGACTCGCCAGATAGTACAGATGATGGTCACTGCCTGCGGTTACGGTGGATAAAGTTTGATAGACGACCATCAGTCATCTTCCCCTTAGTCTAGATCAGGTCTCCCTCCTCCATTTATTCTATCAAATGTAAAGTCATCCTAAACTAAACCCTGTATGACCCTTACACAGGGGACATAGATTCATTAATACCTGAAGAAAAACAAACGTTTGTCCTTAGATATTATTAAAAATAAACATTTTAGGTTTTATAAAGGACATGTAGTCCTAGTCAATATGATCATTTCATAAGAAAATCATTATTTAATTTGAAAATGAATAGAATTTAGTAGAAAATAGAGCATTAAACTCACTATTTGGACAATATTGTGGTTGGGCTGTCAATGCGCCCTCTGGTGTTCAAACTAAGGAGCCTTGTATAAATCTATAAATTATCTCGCTCCTTAAGTTGTTGACTGCTTATATGGAAAAAATGTTGAAATGTAAAAATAAAACCAAAAAACTTTAGGGACTTTTCGTGTTTTGCTGAGTAATCGTACTTGAGAGAATAATCGTACTTTAGGGACGAATTGCATAGCGTGTCGTTGACTACTTATATGAAAAAATATTGAAATGTAAAAATAAAACTAGAAAATGCCCTTCAGGGACTTATTGTACTTTACGGACGTATTGTGTTTCATTGTGTACTTGAGAGAATAATTGTACTTTAGGGACGAATTATACTTCAGGGACGTATGGGGAAGCGTATCGTTTACTACTTATATGAAAAAATATTGAAATGTAAACATAAAACCAGAAAATGCCCTTCAGGTATGTAACGTTCTTTAGGGACGTATCGTATTTCAGTGAGTATTCGTACTTCAGAGAATAATCATACTTCGGGTACGTAACGTTCTTTAGGGACTTATAGTACTTCAGCGAGTAATCGTGCTTCAGGGACTTATGGCGTATCGTATTTCAGGGAGTAATTGTACTTCAGCGAGTAATCGTTCTTTAGGGACGTAACGTTCTTTAGGGACGTATTGTATTTCAGCGAGTAATCGTGCTTCAGGGACGTATGGCGTATCGTATTTCAGGGACATGTCGTACTTCAGCAACGTATCGTACTACAGGCGCGTATCCTACTTTCAGAAGTACTGACTTCTCCCATACTTCCTTCCTTTTCCTTCCAAGTGACTTTCCTTTTTTTGCCCTTGCATATTTAATTTTTCTTACTTGTGCTTCCTTGTGTTCTTTTTTGTCCTTTGACCTTTTCTTCCTGTTTTTTCCTTCCTTTAATATTTTCTTTATTTCTTCTTTACCTGTCTCCTTTCATGCTCATGTCCTTCCTTTCTGTATTGTTCTTCTTTCCTTGCCCTCATGCTTCTTGTTCTACAGGTTCCATGTTGGACCTGTAACGCTAACCGCATAGTTAGCATTATCATTCAGAATCTAAGATTAAAGGTAAATGCCTGGGCCCTCTGAGATGTCTTAGATCGTACTCCGCTTTAGCTCAAACTGTACGATGAAACGGCAGCATTTAAAAGTTCACGTCTCGTGATGCATGTTCTTATACTGTATAGTCTGATGCGACCGACCTGCTCACACTGCGTGTCTAGAAACCACACAGTGCTGGGATACGGCTTTGGTCGGTTTCGTCAGTCTGGAAGAAGAACTCCCTTGTTAGCACATGCGCAGTCCGTGAGGTTCTGGTAAATCGGCTCGTAGCTCTGCTTCAACAGCAAGATTGGCCCCCGAACACCTTATGATGGCCGACTGAATTTTAAACGCGTTCGATTTTCTCCCGACCTTACGATTTTTGAACGGGAGGTGGTTGTGAGAGACCGATCGCCCCTTTGTACACTACATGACGCAGGACACACTAAGGCTAAACTAGGCCCCATCTGAAAAAATCTCAAACGACTGGAGAATGGGCTGGAAAAGGGCAAAAACTCGTACAGCGTATGACCGACTTTAGGATTTGTTTTCACGGAGAGGGTGCAGGAGACCCTCTCGATTCTTCCTGCTCCCCACATCTTATGGCGTGGATCATGTCCTTGCATACTCTCCTCTCGGGGTCCTTCTGGGCCTGTTGTGTAGCAGTGACGCATTGAAGTCGTAGCTTAAAAACACACGGCTTAGAAGAGATAAGAAGTAAATAATTTTAATATTTATTTCCACTCTTATCGAGCTGTTTAGTCATTTATTTCTCTCTGTCTGTTGTCTGCAATGAGTTAAACAATGCAGGAAGATTACTGTTCTATCTGGCATTATTTCCTTTTCAAGCTGTGCACGTTTCATGTGTGCTGCTCTGTGTGTGTGTGTGTGTTAATTTGTGTGGCGGGGAGGAGAGGATGTGTTCATTATCGTCCTGTCCCAGCCTTGTCCCTTTAACAGTAATTGGAGCGATATTAATTGCTGCGCGGTGGCTGGTTGATGGTAGCACCATGATGCTGCACTGATACGGCCCTTCTTTTCCTCTCCTCCTCACAAACTAACTGCCGGCTGAGTGAGGCGGAGGGATGGAGGGGGTGGGGGGTGAGGGAGAGAGATAGCCCCTCTATCAGCTCCGGAGCAGGCGCTGTCTTTATCAGGAGCACGATTGGCAAAAAGGAAACTTTGACCGGTCTGAATTTTTCTCTTATCGTCAAGCCCCCCCCCCCGTTCCTCCTCCTCTCTTTCCTCCCTCCATCCATCCACCTTCTCTCTGTTCTCTCCATCACCGCTAACAGCCCCTTCCTCCACCCCCTGCCTTCCTCTCCTCCTTCTTTTCATTGTTTCTCCTGCTCATAAGAGATGTTCTCCACGTGTGTGACGTTAACACAGAGGAGTAAACAGGTTTTATCTTTTTCCAGCTCCGACTGTTGGAATTTAACTCGTTTCTCATTCTTGTTTCCTTTTTGACTCTTTTGATGGAACGAGCCGCTCTGAGGCCACACAGGCTAATCAGAGCTGTTGGTTCCTGGAAAATCAACCTGAAACTCCTCCCATCTCCCACCCAAACTCAGTTTCTTTTCCTTTTTCAGTGTCTGAAACGCAAGACTTTTGGTTTTTGCTCCCATTTTCTAAGAGACGAACTCGATGATAAAACTTTTTTCACCCACACAATGTCACCGTTTCCCTCAAATATTGTTCTGAAAGCAGTCTAAATCAGTGATAGTGAGCACCTAGCCGTTGCTGAGATAATCCATCCCTCCTCCCAGGTGTGCCCTATCAAGATGCTGATTAGACACCATGATTAGGGCGCAGGTGTGCCTTAGACTGCCCACAATAAAAGATCACTCTGAAAGGTGCAGTTTTATCACACAGTACAATGCCACAGATGTTGAAAGATATGAGGGGGCGTGCGATTGGCATGCTGACAGCAGGAATGTCAACCAGAACTGTTGAACGTCCATTTCTGTACCATAAAGCGTCTCCAAAGACGTTTCAGAGAATTTGGCAGTACATCTAACCAGCCTCACAACCATAGACCACGTGTAATCACACCAGCCCAGAACCTCCACATCCAGCATGTTCACCTCTAAGATCGTCTGAGACCAGCCACTCATACAGCTGCTGAAACAATCGCTTTACATAACCAAAACATTTCTGCACAAAAGGTTAGAAACTGTCTTAGAGAAGCTCATCTACTCGTCTCCCTCATCGGGGTCTCCACCTGACTCCAGTTGGTTGTCATAACCGGTGGGAAAATGCTCACATTTGCTGACTTTGGCACGTTGCAGAGGATGAATCCTGGTTTACCCTGTTGAGGGTAGATGGTAGACGGTGTGTATTGGGTCGTATGGGTGAGCAGTTTTCTGATGTTAGTGTTGTTGATTGAGTGGCCCGTGGTGGCGGTGGGGTTATGGACGAAGCACACAGCTGCATTTTATTGATGGAATTTTGAATGCAGAGATATCGTGACGAGAACCTAAGGCCCACTGTTGTTTCACACATCCATGAACATAACCTCATGCTGCAGCAGGATGATGCATGGCGCCATGTTGCAAGGATCTGTACACAATCCATGGAAGCTGAAAACATCCCACTTCTTGCATGGCGAGCATACTCAGCGGACATGTCACCCATTGAGGATGTTCTGGATCGACAGTGTGACAGTTCCTGCAAATATCCAGCAACTTCCCCCAGCCATTGAAGAGGAACGGACCAACATTTCACAGGTCAAAATTGACAATGTGATAGACTCTATAGAAAGGAGATGGGTTGCACTGCGTGAGGCAAATGGTGGTCACCCCTAGGGCTGGGTATTGTTCAAAAATTTTCGGTTCCGGTACCAATACCGATACCTTCACTTCGATACGGGTTCCGGAACGATACTTTTTTCGATACCAGTTTTAGAATATCAATTCC